GTTATATATGAAGACATTAGGATCCATTAACACCTTGAACCCACTTTGCTGAGCCAATTGACAAATCTAAGGCAGAGGAGGAGGAGAAAGAAAATGGCAGAGATCTTTTCCTATGGGAAGGACGATTATGAAGGATATTTAGAGGTTTTCCTCTGCCAAAATCTGAGCAGTTGCTTGAGGCTGTATTGGAAATCCTTCCGTGAAGATGATATATCATAAGGCAAGGAAGGCTTTATTGAGACATGAAATTCTCTTGCCAAATCCCAGCTCTGGCACTAAACTACCTGCTGATTTCTTTTCCTTCTCGGCCTCAGCATATTCTTATATGATAAAGGTCTTGGACTTGATAGATGACACCTGTGTCAGTATTCATTTCTATAGAACACTATTCAAGTTTATGTTTCATAGCCATTGTTGTTGCTTTACTATAAAGGAATGAGGTTCATACTCAGACGTACTTTTATAAAATCACTGGTTTAAGAATCTCAGGCACCACTGATGAACCAAACACATTTTTCAGACACTTTGCATTGTAATCAGGCATCTTGATTTATAATGAAAGATTTTTAGACCCTACATATGTATAAGGCAATCTGTTTTCCTTATAATATTTCATTTGTTATAAAATCCCAAATTTGTCATCTAGTTCTTCAAGAGATTTAGCTTCCAGACTAACCACTGTACTACCACTGAAATTATATGCAATTTAATATCCTTTAGCCTTTAATACACATTTGAAATTGCAGAGAAATTCAGTTGATAGACCTCTTCCTGTTGAATCCTTTCAGTTTTGTGGATCATGAACAAATGTCAAGTTTTCAAATTTCCAAATGCTTATAAACCATCTAAAGGAATAATTACTTTTGTGATACCTTCACCTTCTCCTCTGCAGAGACTTACTTACAGGAGAAATACTCAAGACATCATGCATGCTTTCAAATAAGACAAAACTGCAACCTGGGAACAAGAGGAAAGCAGAACTAGAACTCTGCAGCAGTATGATATGTCAAGACATCTTCGAGCTGACATTCATAACTACAGTATACATCAAAAGCATTATTTGGAAAGTGCAGATTAACTTTTAGATATTTTGTGTTAATATACAGAGCTTTCCTTGACTAGAATTGGTAAACATGATGGAGAGATTAAGTGAGGATGGAAGGAATAAGGAAGAGAGAAGAAATGAAGATGCACAGAACACCCAGCTCCCTCTCTAGCATCATGTCTGCCTGCATACCACCACACTTCCTGTCATGATGATAATGGACTAAAACTCTGAAATGTAAACCAGACCCAAATTAAATGTTTTCCTTAAGAGTTGCTGTGGCAGTGGTGTCTCTTCATAGCAACAGAAACCCTAACTAAGACACTACCTCTATTGATACAAAATGCATATTTGAATGATTATGTCAGGCAAAAAAAAATGTTAAGGTTGCAAAATAGAGCACCAGAAGATCTCCCTAGAATTGTCTCAACAATATCAGCAATCTATATCAAAAACCCACAATACAACCATCAACCTCAGGATCACAGGACACAATGTCGTCATGGTGGTCATAGGAGTACAAATATGTTGCTCACTTTCTGTCCCCACATAGCTAATCTCCAGAACAGACTTTAGCATGGTTATAACATAGTCTCAATAGTCTATGGTTTGTTGATACTATTTTATTGTTCTTAAAATACATGAAAAGCAAAGGAAATGTGCAGAGACTTCTCAGAAAAAATTAAGAACAAGTTCTTTTGTTATTTTTAATCCCAATATGAAATTTACTCAACTTCAAGTTTAAGGAATTATTTCAGAAAGAGCCCAGAAGGCTTGAAAGAATCAGGCTGAAGCCAGAACATTTGTTTTAAAAAATTAACAAATCTATTTGAATTATGATTATTTGTAATTTCTTTTTCTCAGGATATGGGAAATATTTTAATTTCTTTGAACTCTTTCCATTAGAATACCCCTCAATCAATCAATCTGTTTTTGATTATTAATACAGAAAATTCTGGAGATTATACAACTCCTTGTCCCCTTTCATTGTTCTAGAAATATTAGTTGATAAAATGAAACTGGATAGCTTTTTATTTAGACAGAAAAGTTCTTATAAAGATATAGCTAAAATTGCTTATTTGTAATAATTTTATTGAATAATAAAATGTAAGACATAAAAATACAGATCAAAGTTCTTCAATTTCTACAAATAGTTTCCCAAGCAATACAATAAAAATGATTTAAACTTGATGTTTTCATGATTTGGTGATCTATAAGAAATTTAACAAAAATACGTGAAGAATCTAGAAATAATTAAATTCTTTGAATAATTTTATGATGATACTATAAATACCAATAACTCAAGTGAAACTATTAGAAATATCTCTTGTTCCCTGGGTTAAGGGAGAAAATGCAGATTGTCTATATCCTTGGTCTATATTGTTATTGTTAACATTCAGAATTCTGCAGTCTGCTTCCTGCAAGCAAAGACAGATAACATCCCATCCTGCCCTTGCCAAATGACTGGTTAGTTCTCTCGAGTAAAATGCTAACAGGTGTGATATATTCCAAGTTCCAGTTAAAGTGATTAAGAAATGGGGATGCTTTCCTCACATTCTTCCCATTGTTTCATTGTTTCTAGCCTGGACACAAAGACTGCAGCAATAGCTTTAAAGGATGATTGTAGAAGAGATAGGCCTGAACCCAGTGAGACTGCTTGGCTCAAAGCTTCTACTAATCACATTGGATGATGAAATAAGCCACATATTATCTTAAAACAGCAGGATATTTATGATTAAAAGAAAAATTAGCATGTCTTGAATGATGGATGAACCAATAACAGCTTGATCTATCCATCAATATTCCATAATTGAGTAGAGCTATAGGTGAAACACTTTATGAATCCAGTATTACTATGAACAACATAATGTAAGTAGTTACAGAGAATTAAGCATTTCAGTTGTATCTGTGCTTTGGAAGTGAAGTTGGAAAGGAAATGAATAATTCTCTTACACTAGAATTTTTAGAGTGGTGATCCATGTTTCAGGTTCATAGGAACTGAATCTTCACCTGGTTTAATAGTTGCATTAATTAAGAAAGATACAGGGGATTTTTTTCAGAAAATACAAAAAGTAAGATGCAAATAATTTAAAAAGATATAAGGCACCAAATATTGACCTTGCATGTCTGACCCCTGTTCCTTAACAGGCTCTTCTTCAGTTGGCTTAGATATTTTAAAGATCATATTGCTCCAGCCAGATCAGTGCTTTAGAATTTAGCTGGGTCACAGGGACTTTCTCACCACTCCATTCTAATTTGCAGTTCTGCTATAATAAAAGCCATAAATATATTGCTACTGTCTAGACATTTTATCTGAAACAAGTGTCCTTTGTAGTCTCAAAGGACTTTTCCATTTTATTTCCAGTAAATCAAAGTATGTGAAGAGCTTCGGTTCTTATTAAGACATACCCTTCACAGTCCAGTGATTGCCAACTGTGGCAAGCCATTGACAGTTCATTTGCATATAAGTGATGACTTCCATCAAGTAGTTGGCTCCAAAACACAATGGACATTTAGAAGAGCTCCAATATTTCTTGTTCTTTGATGAGCATCAACTGCCAATTTTCATATAGGACCTGACTGTTGAAAAGTGAAGGCTTCTTTCCCTGACCTTACACTGTCTTCCCCAGTTCTGGTGAGACTTTGTCAGGAGACTTAATGTAGGCCACACTTCTAAAAGACATTCAGAACTCCCACTTTAGTTTGCTAAAAGCCAATGATAGTCAAAAGTAGGAGACAGAGACAAGAGAGATCACTTTTTAAAAGTATTTCTATATTCTACCTGAATGTTATATTCATAATTAAATTTTGTTTTATTTCTGTTAAGTACTTTTAATGTGATTTTATATTAATTCCCTACTAGACATATTGTCACTTATTTGCTAAAGAGATTATAAAATGTTTTTTAGGATATCTTGTTTTTCAGGTCAGTAACAACATTTAATTATCACTGGATATCATCTTTCTCACAATATTTTGGAGTAGCAGTGCTATAATATAGCTAATGTACTATCTATCAAACCCATATCCAGAAGCAGGCTGATGGGCACTTGCCATACTTAGATTTAATTCATGTTTACATTTTTCTCTTGTGTTTGCTTTCCATTTTTCAGTACACAAATAATGAAAACTTTTCTCATTAAAGTTAGAATATGTTATTTAATTTCATACATAAGCTATGTTTTAGCTAGTAACCAGTGTTTTCTTCCCTATCAGATGTAAGAGCTAAAATGTTCTGGTTAGTCTTCCTCATGTTTTATATGCTACCTTGGCTCTAGTTTAGGTGAGACATAGACTGTCTTAGTTCATTCCCTTGACTTCCATGTATATTCCTACAGGAAACTACATTATGGTAGTAAATAGTATATTGTAGAAGTAATATGTCAATGCTAAGAATGTTGAAAACCCCGAATGCCTGCCACACAGTCATTCCTCACATCTTAATCTGTGTTGCATGTAGATTCTGCTGGTCCATAAATATAACTGCATTCTTCTCTATCCCCACTCATTGAGTATGAATCTAAGGGTGGGCATATGGATAAAACAAAATTCAAGATTTGTAAGGAACTGATATTATGGCCACTATACTTCAAAGTGTAAGTAGGATCAGACATAAAGCATATTGGATGTCTGGTCTTCCCTTTAGTATGAGCAATGATGGCATGGAAAGAATACTGAGTATGGAAAAATGGTATATGATTTAGCCACAATTCTCATTAACAATTCAAAACACTTTAGTGATGATATATATTCTGAAAAACAAACTATTTTAAATGTTTCATTTCAGCAAAATAGCACACTGATTCAATTAAGAAATAATGATGAATTAAAAGTTTTTAGCTATCAGAACTTAGAATTTTGAAATAAGAATTTTAAAGCTTGTAACAATTATTGGCAGTGGAGCAAAACAGATTTCTGTCTAATGAAAGCAGTAAGTGACACTGTACAGCCTCACTTCATATGATTAGTAGATGTTTAATGAAGAAGACAAAGCACGCTTATCCAAATGCACTTATAATGATGAACTAACTTGTCAAAGTCCACTTTTGCATGGGCAAAGATGTTTGTCTTTTATCCTGTTGATAGCAAATCATTCTGTGGTCATTACTAATATGCATTTCTTAGGCAATCAGTTCAACTAGGTAAAGGAGTGCTGTGTTGAAAACTTTATCCCACTTCTCATAATTTATAAAATTGTCTCATTTTCCTTTCCCTTATGGATCTAGCCACCAACTTGCCAGCAGTCCGGATGTTAGCTCTCTTGAGTATTGGATGTCCACTCACTATAAAACAAAATATATAATTAAATTAATAAATGCTCAATCAATTAATACAATGAAAATACATTATGATTTTTAAAATCCTAGTATATTATAGGAAATGAAGTTTTGTTCTGCTAAGCATGCCAAAAAATTGAATTGGGCACATTTCCCTCATTTTATTGTATCACCTTTTTTATCTTGCCAACTGACTTGGCTAAAGTCATTGTTGGACTAAAGAGTTGAGAGAAGGAGTCAAAAAGATGAGTTGAGAGTGCTACTGTTTTTCTAGAGGACTTGAGTTCATTTCCCAACACCAAGCTCACTTGACTCACAATGGCTGGTAACTCCAGCTCCCAGGGATACACTGCCCTCTTCTGGCCTCTCTGGGGGCCCTCACATGTGGCATATACTCACACATACACACATAAACATAAATAAAAATAAATCTTTCAAAAATGAGTTGAAAGAAATGATGTCAGGGAAATGAGTTTCATTAATACACAGAATAGTTGAAATAAATTAGATGTAATATTTGCTCAATCACAAGAAGAAAAATTTTAAAATTGATAGTACAACATTAACTCAGATACTTAATATAAGTCACTATTGCATACAGTGTCTGTGTTGGGTCTATGTTTATCTGTAAGGTGACATTTTGAAAATCTGATGAAAGTCATATATTTATGGAAGACACCATTGCACATAGCAGTCATTCACAGATAGATTTATGTAGCCTTGTTATTTGGGTACTACAATAATTGTTAAACAAAACCCACTAGAAATCCATTAGTTTTGAGGATATTCTATGTTGCACACAGGCTATGACATATGTTGTTGTGTTCATGTACACCTACACTGACATTAGATGAAGGGCTAGGTCTTCCATAAGCAAAATATTTAAAAAAATACATCAAAGGTTCTAAACAGGTGTCTTTGTCTAAACAAAAGACAACTGGAGCATACATATATAGAAAGATGGTCAGTGTCATTGACCATCAGAGATAAGAAGCAAAGCTATGGAATCATTGATCCTCCACATAGAAATAGCTAGCTAGTACCAAAAAGTCTAAAAAGACTAAAAGAAAACAGTTGGTGAGGATGCAGATAAGGGGTCATTCAAATACTCATGGCAGGAATATGGATGGCTGCAGCCATTTGCTGCAAAACAGAACAGTGGTTCCAAAAGAAATAAAAACAAAACTGTCTTAGGATGCAGCAAACCTTCTTTTGTGCATATAACCAATAAATGACCAAGTTTACCACATTATATAGGCATCTAGAGCTCTATCTTCACTATTCATAATGACTAAAATATTGAGCATAGGCTTCTAACCAGCAGACACGTAGACAATCTATACAATGGAATGCTAAGTCTTTGACAAGGAGACCGCAATATTTGTCACATCATGCTATAAGAAATAAGCCAGAAACTGGAAGAAATTGTACTACATGAAATAATCTCACTTATATTTGGAATGTTTTCTTTTTTAAGTTCAAATATACAGAGATAGAAAGTAAGTCTGGACACAAGGAGTGTGGGCATGGGAAATAGGAGGGTATAGTTCCCTGATTAAAAACAGTAGAAATGAAGGATGAAGAACTGTGAGGAGATAATGTACAGCATGAGATCAGTAATGAATAAAATTTCACTGCATTTGGGATTCCTGCCAAATGATTAGATTTTAGCTGTTTTGTCAAAAACAAAAAGTAAGTGAAGAATGAGCATGTCTATGAGGTGACAGGTATATTAATTTGCTTGCCATAGTTACCATTTTATTATCTACATGTATCCCACAACATTATATTGTGTATGCCTTAAATATGCATAATAAAATTTATTCCAAAAATAAACAAGTTAGACCACATTAGGAGAGTTTATAAAAATGATAAATTTTAGTGATCATTCCCACTGCAGTCATAGGAAAACAATTACACCCATTAGGATTCTAATCAAATATGCTTACATGACATGAGCACACATTTTAGATGCAGTCTTAACAGAGAATATTTCCTATTATGAAATTTTAACAATATGCAATGTCAAACATGCACCTCATCATTTGAATATGGGATAGCATACTTTTCCTTGATGTTTCTATAAATCAAGCAATGCCTACAGAGTCTGTCAATTAGAAAGAAGATATGAATCACACCTAGCAAGTATTCAAAATACAGTTTAAGCATTATTGTCTATACTATGATATTATAATATAGGCTTTCATGAGAAATTTTACTGACAGTTGGTTAATGAACTGTTCACAAACATTTAAAATAAATAAAGCAGCACCTCCCTATAGTAAAGACACACATTTGGCATAATGTTAAACTCCAAAGTAAATAGTCTTGACCTTCATTTGTGTCAGAAGAGATTTACAAAATAATCTGATTAAAAACAGTCAAGTTCTGGATAAAATATTAAGTGCATTTTAATTCCATTGCTAAGTTGGCAGATAGGAAGGACAATCCAGCCAAAACCAGAGTGAAATCAGTCACATTAGCAGGTGTCTGAGGAGTAAATCTAGTTTTTCAGCCCAGGTTTTTCTGTTAAGTCCTAGTTATCTGAATTTTTGTAGGTGACAGGAACATGGACAGAAGGTTGCACCCAGTTTCCCATCTGTGAGGCCATCCCAGAGGGGCATCTTCAAAGATCATATCATCTGAAAGACCAGGTGACAGAAGGAAAGTTCCTGTTTCCTAGCTTCTAAGTAGACACACTCTACCTCCACAGCTAACCCCTGACTTGATGTCCCAGTTCATGTCACCTGTGTGGCCCTAAAATACCCCAAATTTAAAATCTGTTTGGCTTGAAGAAGAAATGAGGAAAGCAATTTCATCCAAACTCACTGAAATATGTCATTGAGGCATATTTCATGAAATCTCTCAGATGTTAATGGATTTGCAAAGAAGAAAGCACTTATGTGGCAGTATCTGCAATACAGCATCCATTTTTAAAATTCCTACACATAGTAATATGTAAAATAGTAATACCAAAGTAATTTGTATGATAAAAATTTAGCTTTATGCTTTTCTTTATGTGTATTTTAAACAAAAATATTATTTATATAAAAACAAGAACAGATAATTATAAGTTTCTAGACTAGAACATAAAAGTCATTCCCATTGTGTACAATTAATAGGCAGAAATTAGATATTTTGTTTATACTTCAATAAGTTAAAGGATTTCAAGTTGCGAAAATTATTAAGTAGAATAAATAGTATTGCAATGTGTATTATTTTAAGCTGTATCTTAAGAAATGTGATATTATTTTCTTTCTCTAGGATTAAAAATTACTCTACCTTTTGTTTTTAATAGAAATAGACCATCTACAAGTTAGACATTCACAATTATATCTTCATTGTGAAAATTCCTTGACCCATCCAAGGACACATATTATTCTACAGCATTGAGCATTTCATTTTACTACTTTATAAATCTTTATCAAGTGACTTGGAAAGAAAAAAATAAGCCAGAGCTTGTGTTCCAAAACACATGACATGTACATTATGGACTACCTACTGGGGCTGACTTTTCAAAGTCCATGGAAAGGGATTTTATCTGGGGTCATTATAGATCCTGGGTTGTTTCCTAGACCAAAGACAAACAGAAAGTTTGTCTGTTTACCATCATGTTTTCAAATGATTTAGCTAAAACAGATGAAAGTAGTACCTAATTGTAGCAATGTGGTCTTCCTCATTAAAGATGACCAGAGGCAATAAATAACAAAATAAATTTCTAGGAGATAAAGACCTATTTAACTAATTGTCTTAAATTTTTAAGAAGTAAATGTCCGGGCTTTAACTTAGTTGTATGTGTCCTTAGATTTCAGAAAATGGGGTGTTATGAACAGGGATGGAGTAGATCCTCAAGGGACATAACTGCAAAATGCAGGAAACCTCTCTAGGTGAAAAAATGTACTCAGCAATGGAATAGTGAAAACAACATTTCCTAGTTGGGGCTCTAATGCACTCTGGATGGTGTCTCCATATTTTGGGTTGGTTCTCTATGTTCATATCCATTTTCTTCTTATCCCACACACAGGGAGATCTAGGGCACTAATTTATAGGGGGTGCTTCAGTGGGAAAATGGAAAGAGTGAAAGTTCATTCTTCTATGCAGTGTCACAGAAGACAAGCCATCTGAATGTGAGTGACAGTAGTGCGATGACAGGAAAGCAGCTTTTCCCTTCACTGGGTTGATTTTGGTCCATGTGAGTCACCAGAACATGACCTTGACAGGTAAAAATGGCAACAGAGGCAACAAAACACCCCCACAGGCTCCCTAAGCTTCAGCATGACCTCCAGGACACAGGGATGAAGCGGTTGAGTACAGAGAATTTGGGTTTCTATGCTGCAGTCTAGAGTGATGCATTGATTAGCATGTGTGAAAATGAGATGTTTATGAGAACCCATAAGAATTACTAAGGTTACTAGGATTGCTTCCAAGTAGACATATATACATGCTCCTGCATATGTATTTTCATTTACAGATATGTGTGCACCTATAGTTGTGTATTATTGTGAAATATTCCTTAAAGGATGACTTAAGAGAAATCACTTTATTTCTGGTGTTTGCCAATTTTAACAAACACATACTAAATGCGGCTAATACATATTTTAATCTTGAGTTTTAAATTTGCAAAAAAATGAAAACGATATAGCTACTTAATCAACTTAGTTGATTTTTTTTTTGAAATGAGGTGAATAATTCTGTGATATCCACATGTGCACTTCCTCCAAGCAGAAAAATCCAGGAACAAAGACAAGTGAATTTCAAGAAGCTTTAAAAGACAAAGTAAAACTAACTTGTAAAAGTAATCTTTCCACTGGGAAGGGCATAGCTTCACTCAGAATGAGTGGCATTTGGGGATCTAAGAAGTGAGAGTCTGGAGAACTTAGCACATGGGACCATATGGTGAGGAAGAGAGCGTGTTGACATGAGAACTCTGTCCAACTTAAAGGAAATAAGAATCGAAGAGCAGACTAGTAATGAACAAAAGAGACACTGCTGAGGAGTGAGAGGGT